ATCAAGCGTAAATTTGTATTTAGAAGACTTGTGAAGTTTAAGGCTAGTTTTCATGCATTTTTTGCATCTGTGCAATGCAAAAACGTATATCGTCGAGGGGTCACATATGTGTGTATGTCTATGTATGCATCTGTACTGAGTTTTCATCTCGGGATCTACAAAAGCTGCAAGGCTGAAACTTTGGCAACTTAACCTACATCTATGTTCAAGTCTGTATCCTCAAAATGAACGCTCACGTCCACGCAGTCCTTACATACAGGTGCGTGAAAAATTTTCTGGCGGGAAGGCGATTTCGGAAATCACGCATCATGAGGTCCTTCCTTTCCACGTCCAACCCAAGGATTTTAAATTCACCCCCACACACACCTAAGTCTCGCGCACGTGTACGTCGAAGTTTAAATTGGCATCCTGCCGACTTGAGAATTAACCTGACAAAAAATCTAATTTTGCAGAGTTGCTTGACGCTCATGGGTGTGCTCGTGAAAGTAAATTGATGCTTTTCAGCCCCTCTACATCTCACGTACGAACACGTGAAATTTGACGTGAACGGTTTTTTGACTTCGGGACTGAAACAGTTGGAGGGCTGAAATTTTTTTGGCGTGGTCAGCGGCGGTGTTTGGAAAACGACTTTCACGTTTCTTTCATGTCTCACATACAACCGGAACAGCCGGAGCTCTGAAATTTTCCGAGCACGGTTCAGGACCATATTTGAACAGGAGCACGTAAAAAAAAATTCACTTTCTTCCTCACCTACGCTCACGTAGAATTTAGCATAACCCCGCAACCAAGGCAACCAGAGTGCTTAAGTTTCCTGAAAGTAGCCCACGATCGTGTTTGGGCAGACGCAGGTAGAGAAGACTTCCATTTTCCCCACACGTGCAAACACGTAGAGTTTGATGTAATCCAGCAACTAAGGCAGCTACACTGCCGAAATTTTCAGGGCTTAATCCTCGAGCGTGTTTTTGAACCGGCGCACATGAATAAAACTTTTCGTCCTCCTCATTTGTGAATTGGTGAAATTTGACGTAACTTCGCAACCGAAGCATGCTAAATTTTATGAGCATGGATTAGGAGTCATTGTAATAATTCCTGACAGTTGTGATTGCCAGTCTCAGTTCTTTTAAGCTAGAGTCATCTACCGGATAAGCAGTGCCGTTAGCGACAAAAGCCTGGGGTGGAGGAGAGGGAACGGTGCAAAAAACGCATCTGCACACCGGTAGTCGGTGCGCTGTGAATTATTTAAAACTCGTGTGTGCTTTCGGAGTATGTTTGGATTGGTTCTGTTAGACAAAGGCTACATTTTGTGGTTTTGCATTAAGAATTCAGTTTTCCAGTGCATGTGAAGGGGATGATAAATCTTATAATTCTACACTGATTCTTATCGACATTGGCTATTGCGTCTTGACGTTTTGATTATCCACAGGGCGAAGTAGATTTTTAGACATCTGACTTTTGTGCACTCACGG